GTCACAGCCAGCAGATGATGTGCTTTTTTAGCATCCTCTGTGTCTTTTGATGGTGTGAACGCACACATGTAGGTGCACTGAGATTGGGTTGTAACTACAGTGCATTAGGAGAGAGAGTGCGTGTCTGTGTATGTGTGAGAATGGCGAGGCTCTGGTCTGCAGCCTGGGAGTCAGGCTTTGAGCTGTGCTGTTCATAGTCTGCTGATTTATGCACCTCACAGGGAAATCTCTCATTTGTAGCTCTTTCATCTCATTTTCCCCTCCACTCTTTCTCTCTCTCTTTCTCTTTCTCTGTCCTCTCTCTTCTTCTGCTCACCGTAATGTGATTCAGTGCAGCCGCTCGTCCCAGGCGACATGCCACGCTTTGCTTGCACACCCTGCTCTCTCTAACATGAATGAGTCAAGAGGAATCATTGATGAATAATAAGATAGAGCAGAAGGAAAATGCTATCTGGATCTAGTTGAGCAAAAGAACTCCTTTTCTCTCCTGAACGTAGTCTTTGTAAGCACCGCTCGGGCGCTTACTCACACATTGAATGTGTTTGTGTCCCCAGTGCCATAATGCTTTTATGGCCCTTTGTGCGTATGTGCGTGTGTGAATGCGTGTGTGTGTGTAAGTGCTTTCCACGACCGCCTTGTTTGAGTAGCCCTGTCACTTGTGCAATTCTGCGGTGTCAAAACAGATCAGAAAGGTCTGGCTTGACTCCTGCCCCTAAATACACATACACACACACACATGCACACATTCAGACGCACACACTCTCTCTCTCTCTCTCTCACACACACACAGATTGAAGGCTCAGTGCCAGGGCCCTTGGTGGTTGGAGGCTTATGAAAGGGTCGGACTGACGAGTGGTTGCCAAGTGTACGGCAATAAGCGTAACAGCCAAGCTAACGAGAGTCATAACCTCTGACACACACACACACACACACACACACCACACACAGGCTCTCAAGCTTTCTCAGTAGTTACTACTGTTCCATAGTAATAGTGTAAGAGTTCAGTATATCAGTATGAGGACACAGGGTCCCGTTAATTGACAAAAGTGACAATAGAACATGAGAAGATATTGATCTTCAATCAGATGGAGATCAGTTTAACTCGTCATCCTTGCGTGTGTGTGTGTGTGTGTGTGTGTGTCCATATCGATCAGTAGCTGTCCTTTCAGAGGGCTACAACAAAGAATATCACTCCGTTACTTTATCTGTGTTTTCTTCTTTGTCCTTGTGACATTTGTTATATCAGTGCTATCGTCTTCTCCTTTTTTCCTCTCCTGTTTGCTTCCTCCTCCTCGTCCTCCTCCCTTTCTCTCTTTAGAATAGTGAGAAGCCTTGGGACAGTCAGGGCCTGTTAGCTGTTGTCTTGCTGTTTTGTTTCGCTGTAGATTTCAGCAAACACTCTTCAGCAGCTGCTGAGACAAACACACAGAAGAGGGTGCAGGGTTACTTTTTTTATGCCACTCTGATTTTTTTCCCTCGGCTCTTGCAACATCCTGCATATGAGGTACACGAATTTGCTCAACAAATGCAAGGGCCAGGTCTGTTATAAACTAAAAATGACAAAGAATAACCTTGATCTTTTATAAAGCTTTTCATCATTAGACACTCTTTTGCATGAAAGTGTTTACTGGGTTACTTCATGACTGCAGAGCACTTTGAGCAGGCCTGATTGATCCATCCTTAATTAAAACTATCCTATTGTGCCTGAAAGGTGTGAAAACCCGAGTGCACTGATTAAAAAAAATAAGCATTTCTTGCACAATTTGATCCAACTGCTTTTTTCCCACTGGAGTTAAATATAAAGATCCTACCCAGTGTGACAGTTGTCCCAGTTAAAAAGCTCCTTGAGACTATGTGTTAAGCATCAGTGTAAAATGCTGTTTCAGAAGCTTCGGCTGTTAAATAAAGCATTGACACCAAATCCCCACGTTGATACTGTTAAATCTTCGGATTTGCTGCTATCAAATTCAATTGTGGCTGCATCGGAAATATAACAACATCCCAAAATTTATGTTTGGCCTCGTTATCCATGAGAATACCAGAAATATGCCAAGCAGCAAAACCTGCCCAGAAAAGCAAGGCACATTTCCAGAACTTTTTCTTTTTATTTTTTAAAATCAGTGTTAAAGTGTTTCTGAGTGGATTTTCCCCACAGTAAATCATATTACTGTCAATCATAAATAAGCTAAAACAGATTTTTGCTCACTGTAACTACAGCTGACTCTATTAGTATGAAAAGAAACTCATAATTCAGATTTTTATTACCTTGGAATCAGAATCAGAGGAGTCGCCGCCTGTGTGTTGACACAGTTTTCCAAGTCATGATGCCAACTGGGAAAAATGAAGCATACAAACACATTTTCTACTTTAATTACCACTACGGAGACTGAATGGAGCTGTTTTCTCAGTCAGCAGCTTGTATTTATGGTAAATAACATATGCACATATAGTCATATGTGGTGCATTGTGATGATGTCTCTTGGGTCAGACCTGAATTTTTGACTTAGACAGGTTGATCAGTCAAACCTACTGATGAGTAGAGCCGGTGTAGTGTTTGTTTTGTCTCACTCGCTGCTCCTCTGATACATCTCATCAGTTGTGGTTAATTTGGTGAGTTTGCATTGAGAGTATTCAGAATGGTTCAGGAAACTAGGGAAGGATGCAGAGGTGACAGATGGAAAGGGAATGTGCGGACCAGGATAAAACAAAGGCGGAAACAGGGGGCAGGAAGAGAAGTGGGGGGAGAGAAAGAAGGAAAAAACACAGGGACTGAAATAAGGTTTACGTTAGTGGCTGGCCTCTGAGATGATTTTCCATATCAGCAGGCCAGAGGGAGCGGGCAAATATGATTTTCTCCTCAACTCACCAACAGAAAACAGAGAGGGGAGGGAGGGCAATGACAGGAATGAGGGAAAAGAGGATAAAAGAAAAGATGAATAAATGGAGAAAAAGAGGAAGGGTGGAGATTAGAGAACGGCTGTGGGAAGGAAAGCGACAAGGAACACAGAGTATTCACACTAACCTGACTCATCAGTGCGGCTACTGTTTGAAATCAGTGTAACTCTTTTTTTAAACATCTTCTTTAACTTTATAGAGCTCAGAGACAAGATGCTTCAAGTCATTTCCAAAATGCATGGCTGCTCTGCTGAAAACTGGCTTTTTTCTATTGCCTGTTGTCAGAGGTACAGTGTGTGTGTGTGTGTGTGAGAGAGAGAGAGAGAGAGAGAGAGAGAGAGAGAGAGAGAGAGAGAGTCTGCAGGGCCAGGGGGCCTTGTGAAACCAGCCCAAGTCTTACATGACCTGTGTTTTCTTATTACTGTCTGAAAGGCAGTGGATCTACAGTTGTACAAGAGAGGAATTTGGAAACAATAAAATAAAAGAAACGACTACTGTTTGAATTCGGTGAGAGATGCAGAAAGAGAGACAGAGTGGAAATTAACATAAGATAAACTTCTGGCTGTGTCTTTTATATTTTCCTCTTCCTCCAAATTTATTTTGATTTAGAATATATAAAAGATCTAAAGATTTGTCTGTTTGTCTTAGTTGGTGTGTGTTTCCATTCTTCAGATCACACACACACCCTTGTCTAATTTGTGCCTTCATATACAGTACAGTGCTGCTTTCTCTTGATTTATCCCATGCTCTTGTTCTTGTGTGTGTTTGTTTATGTGTGTGTGAGAGAGAGAGAGATTGGCAGACAGTTGAGGCACTTGTGGTTGTGGCAGGTCGTGGTTACGGTGAGGGTACTGCACATGTACATATGTTTGTGTGTGTGACTCAGATGCGGACTGTTGTGGTTGTGGTAATTGTCTCTGATGCGAGGCAGCATTTATAGGTAACGACCCAAACCGCCACTTCTCTCGCTTTCTTTCTCCATCCTCTGACTAATTACCTGATTCCCTGTAGATTTGTCTCCTCCTTCTTCTAGAACTGCTTGGGTTGTTCCACTAAATGAGAGCACGCTGACACAGTAAATGGAGATACATTCAAACAGAGCCCGACTGAACTGAGCCTGTTCGCTCAGTTCACTGAACCAAGAATGAATGTCTAAGCTTGCTCTCAGCCATGTCTACAAGGTGGAACTAGTTTTTACTCATAGGTGCCAACAAAAGATGACGCTTCTTCTTTCCAAATGGCCATTTTCAAGTTTCAGCTGAACTGAAGATTTCCTTTTTTACCAGTTCACTTTTTAGCTTTCTGTCTATGGTTGTATCTTACTGGCCACTGACTGTAGTATCTGTTTAGAAGCTTGGTGTACAGCTTGCATGCATCTTTCTCAGTGTCAAAGATAGGACTGTGCAATTTGGGTTAGTAATCACAGCTGCATTTATTGTATCTTTCATCTCCATGATCATCAAGTAAAAAGCAGAAATGCTCAGTCACAGTTTCTGGACAGCCCTCTGCATCAGCACCTCAGCTACATCAGCACACTGGTTTCATTCCAGTTATAAGGGAGGCTGTGTTTTTCCACAAAAGGCTAAATTTGGTCTAAAACAGCCAGAGAAACAGTTACAATAGTACACTACCTATCAGGCCTTAAAATATTCTTGCTGTAAATGTACTTTTCTAGACTGCCACCAAAACAGAAATCAAAGAGACATTAGTTCAAATGCTGTAGCCTCAGCAATCCTGCTTATCATTTGATGTTGATTCAGATCTGGCACCAAAATAACTGTTTCAGGTGATAATAATCACCAGTGTTCAAATACAAGATGTGTGCCAGTCACATGCCTCAGGTCCCATTCAGTTCAGAACTGGCAAAAAAAAAAAAACCCTCAAACTGCTGCGGGGTTCTTGGCTCTGGCTTTTTTATTTTAAATATTTGTATTATATCAAAACGATTTTTTTTCTTTTTCATTTTCTGCTGCATATTATATTTTGATGATAACTTTGTCCAGTGCCATGATTTATTTGTCATTGGTGACAATTGTCAGTCAGTTTGCAAGTAACAAGTGACCCACACTCCTCTCTAACCTCCAGTCGCTCTCTGTGTCTTTCAGGTGCTTCCTTCATGGGTTCCTTCCTGGCCAGTAGTCTGGGATCCCCACCTTCCCACCCTCCTCACCCCTCAGGACCTGCTGCCTCCCCCTCCTCTCCCTCCTACAGGACTGGACCGCATTCGAGCGCTTCTCCTATCTGGTTCCCCCATTCACATGAAGGTAAGACACACACAGACGCACACACACAGAGGAGGCAGCCCAGAGTGCTTGGGTCTCTGGTTAATCCAGGGTCTTGGTTTGGGATTAGATCAAGATGGAGCCATTTAGTGGTTTAACCAACACTGAGCTGAGGCCAAACATGTGCAGCAGTGACGCCTCAGAAGATGCTACTTATAGAAGCACACACAGACACACACCGTCATACACACACACAACTGACTCCCTTCTGGCTCTGTATGTCAGCAAGCATGCGGCTTTGTGTCTGTGGCTGTTTTCTAGTTCAGAGCTCAAACACCATGATGCTCTTAAAACTGGTGCACGACTGAAACCTTGTTCTTTCTCCGGCCTAAACCCATGAACACACAAACAAACACAAACACCTAGACGCAGTATAGAAACAACATCGTAATCGGCAGCACACTTTCGCTAAATCATCTCTCAGCCCGCTACTCTGAGTGGGTAATTTTCCCGCCCCCCCCCCCCCAATACATACACACACACACACATACACTCTCTTTTTCCCAGAACCCCCCGACCGCAGCCCCACCCTCAGGGCCCCTTCTGGGCTAACCGACCTCCAACGGCCCCCTTCCTGATCAGACACACACACACAAATGTGCGCATCCACATGCATCATGTCCTCTTTTGACTGTTAACCGTTTGTGGTCAAAGCATGAGCTTGACTCAGTTATCTGTCCCCTTCAGGTATGAGTGTGCATGTGTTTCTGTGTGTGTGTGCCTGTGAGAGGATTTGTTTTTTTTTTCTGACAGTGAGATGAGTCTAAAGAGATAACCTCAAAAAAGGCTTCAACTGAAAGACAGCTTCTGCTATAGGCTGAAAGTGGCCAGAATCTAAATGTTACGTTTCACAAAATGAGATTGAGCAAACAATAACGTCAGAGGATTTTGCCTTAGGAAAGTATTTAGTCTGTTTCTGAGGAATGAGATGGAAACCAGTCAGCTTTCATTTTTCCCCCTTGCTCCTTTGACCATTGTATCAATGGCTCTTTTCGGAGATGTCATAGCAGGACAGGCACAGGTGTAATCAATAACAGTAATAACAACTACATTCCTTTCAGGTGAGCCAGTTCAGTGCCCCAGTCTTGTGTCTGCTGACTCACAGGAATGCTGTAACACTTCAGTCATGTCATCATTAATGTTATTGGCTTCACCTGTGCCTCACCTGCTAGGAAATGTCAAAAGGCCTGCATGGAAAAAGGAGCTCTTCTGACTTATTTTACAGCATGAATCCATCGCTCTATCTGTCAGTGATTCCACTGATTTAGAGGGAATTTCTGTTTGTAATTAGCCTTTAATTGCTTTGTACCAGCAAAGGATGGCTCAGCTTCTTCTGAGGGAAGCTGCTCTTTATGAGGCTGCTTTTAATTTGTGTACACACCAGGAGTTTATTTGGGCAAGTTGAACACACTGCCTCTAACTTAGAGACAGGCCACTTTTCCACTGCAGCTCAAATCTGTCATTTAAGCTCATAAGTTAAACTCCTGAGAGCTGTGTTTTTACATAGAAATCTCTCCTGATGCCGCTATATAAGCTTGAAAGGAGACAAGAGTTTTGTTTGTACGACTGCCTCATTTGCAGCTCATCGAGCGATAAATAGCTACAGTTAAGCCCTGAAAATGAGCACTAATGTCGCCTGGAGTGACTGTCTTAAATCAGATTCATAGAAAGAGTCGGAGGCAGGATTTCAGTGAGAGCAGTGGTGGTGAAAAGAGAAAGAATGTGTACGGAGGGAGTGTGTGTGTGCCTATCAGAGAGGGTTTGTGTCTGTGTGGCTCAGCTTTGATGTCTGAACACACAAATACAAGTGCGTGTGCACACTCACGTGCATGAGCACACACGCACACTACAAATGATTGTTTTTAAGAATTCAAGCCAGGGAGCTCCAGTAGGCGGTCTGCCAGCTGGCCATGGTCCAGAGAGTGGAGCATAGCCAGCACAGAGAGTTGAAACCTGGCCGATGCACACTCTAGACACACACACAATCTCAGCACACACACACACAACAGACACACACGAATGAGACATATTCATGAAGAAATACACAGTTGTCAGAAAAACAGCATACATTCTTCTCTCTCTCTCTCTCTCTCTTGCTCACACACGTACACACACACACACCTATCCTCTTTCTCACCTGCTTGCTGTCCCTATTCCACACCTGTCCTTGTTTTTTGTCTCCTCTCTCATGTGCTCTCCTCCTTTCCTTACATCCTTTTCCTCTATCCTCTCATCTCCGCCATCTCAAAGCTCTCCACATCTCTTTGACTTCCTCCCTCCTCAGACACACACACAACCTCTGCAGCACACACACTCCCTTCTACCATATGCATCACAGCAGCACCAGATTGGGGGCCTGCCACACTGACAGCCCTGTTCTTCTGGTGTCCTCCTTTACTTTCACTGTCTCTCCATCGTCCATTCAGTCACTAAGCTCCTCTGTCTCTTCTTCCCTCCATTCTTTAATTTCTCTCTCCCCTTTTTCCACTGTGCTTCTCTGCTGTCTTTGTTCCTCTCTTCCTCTTTCTTCCTCGTTCCCATTTCCCCTCCCTCCCGCCTGAGTTTTATCACTCATCATTACCCAGGGGATTGGCTTTAGATGGCTGATAGAGCCTTTTGGCTAATTGTCGCCATTTAGATTCACTGGTTGTTAACCAGTCAGAGTAATCACACACACACACACACACACACACACACACACACACACACACACACACACAGTAGAGCGTACACATTCATGCATTTACATTACAGTCCCACACACATGTTGGGAGCAGTGAGGGGGTGTTGGTGGTTTTGCAGTGCGACTGTGGAATGCGTAGGATGAGTTTTTATGGAGTGGTGTTTACTTTGGCCACCACCGTTAAACTTTTAACGGCTGCCAATTAACAGGCCAGCAAGGACACTCTGTGGGGCATGAAACAGCTGCTGGAGACTACGCTCACACACAGTGTACACACACAGTCCGAGCCTTTTGGCTCCATGATGTGGAGATATGTGCCTCCTGTGAGGTGTGTGTGTGTGTGTGTGTGTTGGTGTGTGGGGGGGATGGGCTGTGGTGATTTTGCTGTTTTCTCCGCCAATACCAACCCCCCCCCAATACACACACAAACACACCCGTTTTGACCCTCACCCATACCTACATCCATTTATCCCCATCAACACAACCACCAAGACCTCCTCTATCCCATGATGCAGTTCAATGTCCTTGAAGAAAAGGAACAGAGTGGAACGACCATTTACCTCCCAGTGACCTCCTGGGAGGACTGTGTTTTTTTCGGGGGGGATGCTTCATACTATTTGTCTTGGGTTTGCAAAAAATGTTTTATAGAAGAACAAATTCCATCTAGTTAAATGCTGCAAACACTTGGCGGTAGCTGTCGAGTGTGGTTTTTGTCACGACTTTGTCCACTGTAAATAATGTCAGCTCATGTGGCATGTTTGTGCAGAAGTGCATTTATGGTGAACGTAGCACCATATTTTTTCCATGTTTTCCAAAATGGCCCCATTTGATGATGGATTGTAGAGACAAACTGTTTGTTTAGAGAGCTGCTCAGTGTCAACGCTGCCGAGAAACATCACCTCTTTATCCCTCTCCCTCCCTCTGAAAGGGTACCCCAGCTATTCGGGAAGTCTTGCTTCTCCTTTTCTCCCTATGAGTCCCCTGGATCACCATGGCAGTGGTCTCTATGGACAGCACCGCTTCTATGAAACTCAAAAAGGTATGTGTTGATGTGTGAGGGGGTGAAAAAATAGCTTTTTAGATGCTTTCTTTAAACTGCTTAATCAGCACTCATCAAGCTGGTAATTTCTTATTGCTTTTTCTCCAGGCATCATTGTAGACACATTTTAATATAGCAATTTTAATTAAACTTTATAAAAACATTTAACTTTGCAGCCAACATCCAAATCTCTTTAGATCTCCACATCTTCAACTGTAGTGATGCATGTTAAGTCATCTCTTCTCCCAGATCACTTCTACCTGAGAGGCCTTCCTCCCCAGCCCTCTCTGCTCTCCACCAATCACAGCCTTCCACCATTGTCCAGGACCGCCCCAGGCCACCCACTTGGTTCTTGTAGCCGGGAGACAGACAATGGGGGAGGAGGCGGGAAGAGTACCAAGGACGTGGGTGAGAAAGGAGTTTCAACTTTGTCAAAGGAGAAGGAGCGATCAAGCAGCAAGGAGCGGCACCAGGAGAGCAGAGACAAACAACATCAGCTTCATCATCACCATCCTCATCAGACAAATGCTCCCACCACTCCATCCAGCCACCACCATCAAGCTTACCCCCACTCTCACCATGCCCTCATTCCTCAGCTTGCATCCCAGGGCAGGGAGGAGGACCACAGACACTCTCTGGAGCAACACAAGGAGTTCAGAGAGAGTGACACAGGCAGCCAGGGGACAAAACATATGAGTGCCTGTAAACTGTCTAGTGGTTTGGGGACAGAGACTGGCTCTGGAGGAAAGGGGGGAGCACTTAGTAGCTGCAGTGGCGGTGGCATGGGAAGACCTCCATCTGGAGGTGGCAGGCGCTGCTCCAAGGATGGACTTACAAATGGGGAGATGAGGATCAGTGAATCCTCAGCTTCCTCCTCTGAATGTATGAGACGAGGGGCGACTGCAGCAACCACCATTTTGGCACCTCCAACCCCCCATTCTGTGACCTCCTATTCCATGCCTCCTCCTCCTCCACCACCACCCCCTCACACCCTGCACATGGGCTCTACAGTCACAGGAGGGTGGCTACACCATACACATCACCATCCTCATCCTGACTTTTACTGCCCTCCAGTCCCGCTTACACTGACGCCATCCAAAGATCCAACATCCATGCCTGCAGGGTCTGGCAGAGACGTGAAGGTCATCGGCCCAACTTACGTGCCCTCAGTCGGGCCACTGGGAGACCTGGCAGCCCCTGACTGTCGTGGAGCAGGAGGAGGAGGGAGAAAAGGAGATGATAAGAATGGAGAGTCATCCTATGAAAGTCCCTCTCATCACCTCAGTCGACTTGGTAGTTGCCAGAAAAAGGACAAATCTCAGCCACACCAGCAGCAGCTGGGATATGGCAAGGCTGACAAACCTCCGGACTGGAGCCACCAGACGCAGCACTTCCACAAACCCAACTCTAATGTGAGCTCTCAGCCTGAGCTGCGGTCTTGCAGCCTGGAAACATCTTCGTCCTTCAGAGATGTAGAGGTTGTGCATGATGTTTACCGGCCCTCACTTTCACTAGATGCCCAGGGCACACACCCTGGGGCTGGACAGGGCATGTCCAAGAATGGCCGTGACACCAGCACTCCTCCTTTCAGGGACTGTTCGCATTCAGGTCCTCAATCCAATGGGAAGGTAGGATCAGGGGTTCTGAGGGAGGGACAAAAGGTTGCAAGGATAAGGCACCAACAGCACAACAGCCATGGAGCAAGTGCAGAAGAGAGGGGAAGAGATGGAGATCAGACAGCACCTTCTTTGGGGGCTCGAGGGGGCCACCAAGAGGACCAGAGAAAAGGCTCCCACCATATATCATTTGGTAACGGTGAAGTAAGAGGGCTTAGCAACAGAGCCCCAAACAGTGATCACAACCAGCCCCATTCTCAGCCCCCACCTTTATCCCACTCCTCGTCCCTCAGCACGGAAGGTGAGGCCAGTGCCATGAAGAGCCTAATGAACTACAGCTCCCAGCAGCCATTGATGCTGCCACATCGGAGCCCCTTTGGAGGTCTAGGCTGCCTCAAGCAGGGTGGAGAGAGATCAGAGAAGGGAGACAGAGGAGGAGTTAAAAGCAACACCTCCTCACAAGACCCTCCCAAACAGTCACTCCCTCCTCGTCGAGGCACCACCAACGAGGGAGAGAAGGGCGACAGAGGTGGGAAGGAGGTGGGGGAGGCAGGAGAAGGAGAGGTGCGGCAGCCTCCTGTCGGCATTGCAGTTGCAGTGGCCCGGCCACCCCATCGTTCCCCAGACAACACCCCTGGACACAGCAGACAGGGCAGGGTGCTGCCCAGCATGAAAGGTCAGGCATCATTTATGCTCTTTGCACTCAAAGTCACTTAATGCTATATCTGTGCTCTAGGCTGGATTAAAGGAAAAATCTATTAATCACTTGGGACCTTCTTTTGGTGTTGTACACTATCTTACATCTCTTGGTCCTTGTTGACGTTTATTGTGGACTCTAGCAAACTTCTTTTCCATAGAGAGGGAGAGATTCATGCATGGGCAGGTTTATACAAAGGCCTTCTGGGAAATGTAACACATCACACTTTGTAAATCAGGGAGATTGAGCATTAAGGTACAATTTCTGGCATGAAATGAACATTACCAATATAACATCATGTGCATGAATATCTGTAGGTAGAAAAAAAACAAAAACAAAAGAATGTCACGTATGTAGGAAACATTGCCATCTAATGATATGACTCACTGGTGACTGACAGTAACTACTAACCTGTTTCTCTTCCTGTTTTTGTGATTCAGGGATGTCGCGCCCTATGTATCCTCTTGGTCGGGAGGCAGAAGACAGGAAGAGGATGACAGAAGACCAGATCAGTCTTCATCACATGGAGAGAGACAGAGAAATGATCATCAGGTACACCTACATTCACAAAACACTGACACACTCATAGACACACATATGCACACGGTGGCATCTATTCATGTTTCCTCTCATCTGATAAGCTGCATTTCTTTTATTCTCTTGGCTTCTTTCTTCCAGTCTGAGGCTCTGCTTCTCTCATCCCCTCACTCCATTTACTCTTCTCACCCTTTGATGTGGTATTTCTGTACCCTCTCACTCGCTCTCTCTCCCCATCTTTCTCTTTCTCTCTGAGATGAGATGTGGTGCATTAATGTTATGGGGACTAATACGGTTGTCTCTGAAGTATCAGGCTCTTATTATGTAGTCATATTAGGGGAAGAAAACATATAATGAGAACTCATAGACCAGGCACAAGATGATGGCTGTTCCTGTTGCCGTCACATTTCCTTTTCTTGATGAATATAATGGTAGAAGTGGTAATGAAGATGATAAGGATGAAGATAATGATCATAATGATGGTGATGAAGATGATGATGATGATGACAATAAGAAGGATAATCAGGATAATGACAAAGTTCACCCCGCCTATCGCCACGACAGGGAAAACAAGGATCGTGTGGAGTTTGCCAGGATCCACCCTTCTAGTAGTTGCCATGGTGACCTGACCCCTCACCTCTTGGTGCCTGGAGGAGCCAGCCAGTTAGGGGCAGACCCTGTAGCACATGCTCACACAGCTCACCACCACTGGATGCAGAGGACAGGAAGTCCGTCCCTCTGGATGGGGCATTCATACAGTGAGTAAAGTGAACAGACAGCACCTGTCCAGACTGTCCTGTGTTTTCGTTGTTATGTTGTCAGTCGGGTCTTTGTGTAGTAGCAAAATAAGTATTTAACTGTAGCTCTGTGTTATGTGTACTTCTTTGTTCCAGGTCTGAGCCATGTGGGGATGAGCCCTGGCTTCCCACCGGGTCTGCCCAGCCCTCTGCAGCCCGTCCTGGGGTCGCTAACCCAAGACCCTAACTCCCCACTTGTGGTTCTTCCTGCAGAACCTGGGCCTCATCATCATCTTGGTACACTAAGCACAGTGCACAGTGCACAGACACATTCATAACCAGGAGAGCCCAAATTCATTGCGGTCTCCCCATACTTACTGCTCCCCTGCCTCCATCCATTTCTCCATTTGTACAATCAGAGCTGCTGCCATTTCTCTCCCAGAGTTTTAGTATCATTGGCTAATCATAATATAATGCTCAACTAAGTCCCTCTGTCAGTGGGACCGTGTTTTATTGCTGCGTTTATGGGAGCAGCTATTCCATTGCCCCCCTCTGCATGTGCCCAGTGTTATGCAAACTATTTTAAATGGCGTTCATCTCTCTTGTGGTGGAGCGCTGGTGCGTTTGAACTGGACTCTGTGTATGTGTAATTGTGTGTGTGGACATCTAAAGTTAGTTGCTTTCATGTCTGGTACAATATAAGACTTTGCTCAGTGTTAAGGGTTGTGTTGAACATCTCAGGCTTTGCTAAAGAGAGAGGAGTGTGAGAGAGAGAGGTGTGTGTGTGTGTGTGTGTGTGTGTGTGTGTGTGTGTGTGTGTGTGTGTGTGTGTGTGAATGCTGTTTTGCAAACAGGCTGTGAAATTTAATTATCTCCTGCCTCACTTGCCTCTCTCCATGGGAGTTCCTGCAGAGAGGGGAAGTGCATCCACTGAACCCTTCCCCTGGGAAACATTAGCCCACTCAGGCTAATCTCACAGAACAAAGGTTCCCAGCGACAAGGCAGCCAAGGAGTGATGTGTGTGTGTCTGTGTACATGTACGTGTGTGTTTCATATGTGCCTGGGGTGGGACTTGGAAGAAAATGTGTTTCCCTAATAGAAAAAACTGAAATAGTTAAAGAAGGTGAATGGAGAATGTGGAGCGTGCATTCAGGATCATGACTGTGGCCACACACAGGTCACAGTTGTTACATCTACAGTTAACATGGCTGAGTTCTTTCATATGTTTAAATGTTACTTTCTCACATTTTTGTACTCTCAGCATTTATCTGGATTAAAATAAAGATGAACAAACACTTTTCCTTTATAACTCATCCTCTTAATCTGTTTCCTCCTCTAGATGTTCTGGAGCAGTCGGGTCTATGGCCTCCTGTGTACGGAGGCAGAGGGCCTCCACCTCACCTGCAGCATCACGCCGTCTACTCCCGGTCCTCATTCCTACGGCAACAGGAGCTGTACGCCTTTCAGCAGCAGCAGCGAGCCATGGAGCAAATGCAGCGGCACTCGTTAGGACAGGTACCACTCATGCTAGTATAACTCAGATGCATGTGAGCAATATTTATTTAAGACAGTGACTTCCTATTTTGTTGGCAAAGGGTTTCATTGATAAAGAGACGCTGGTGTAATGCTTTTGCACTCTCATGTTATCAGATCATTTGGCAATCATATGTGTGGCCAGCACTTTGTTTTCCATAACTTTCTGTCAGAAAGCTTTTCTCCACTGTAGTGCTGCTTACTTTTGCTCACGTTAGGCACCCTGTGTCCTTTTTATTTACTGAATCTGCTGTTTGATATATAAAGACAAAACTGGATATTTCAAACAAAACAATTTAAACATTTCATAAACCAGACAAGCAACAAATCACTGTTGTATTTTTATAACAAATATTTTCTTGATTTTGCCTTTTATAAGGAAAAACAACCAAGAAAATGCTTTTAAAGTAACAAGAATTGCTACAGTGTTGTCTCCTTTTCTTTTTTCACAGAAGAAACATGAGGAGCATGCTATCACTATAGAAGACTCGCCTCACCAATCTTCAATGCCCAGAACTCCATCCTCAGTTTCTTCCTCTTCTTCATCCACCACTTCTTCCCATGTGGCCAAACCCTTCTCACACACTCCTCCTCCACCCAAAACTCCTACATCATCTTCGGGGATGTGTCCCAGTAGCCGCCAGTCACCCTGCTACCACTCCCCGTCCAGACGTCCACACCCACCAAACCCTCTGACCCCTGCGCCGAGCCCAGCTGCAGCAGCACCACGCTCTCCGGCGATCAGCCCGGCTCCTTCACACCTCTCTAAAGGGCTGGAGAGAGGCAGTGACAGAGGAGAGGGACAGCCACCTCAGGACTACCCACAATCCCTAGAGCCAGGTTAGAGTTGAAACCTATAGGATAACATAAATACAAAGACAAGAAACAGGACAGAGAGATGGAGGGTTTGCTGTAAAATTGTAGCACGTGTCTTTGAAGCCCAGTATCTTTTGATTTTGCAGAAATTGTTTGAAGCATGGCTGATCCCTTGCACTGTGTGTCCTTGAGTGTGTGTGTGTGTGTGTGTGTGTGCAATCTTTTTCTGTGCAAGCTAAAGAGGGACAGCGGAAAGGTCAGCCATTAAGGTCAGAAAAAGCATATGGGCACACAGTGTGCATATGAATGTGACCTGCCAGCGTGCGCTTGTGTGTCTTAGCTTGCATGTGTGCCACATGAGGAAGGCCGGTGAAATTTTCAGATAGACCCTCCTTATCCTTCAGGGGTCCTTGAGAAGTACAGGTGAAAGAATACGCATTTATCTGGCTGCGTTGTCAGGGGGCGGAGGGATACCATCAATAATAAGAAGGCAGTGGTGACAGGACCGTCACTGCAATTGCAGGAAAATGGCAGGGTGTCATCAATATCCCACATAGATCTATACACTCACTCACACCCCTACACACACATACACTACTGTACACATGTGCACACACACTCCATGTGTTTTTTGCGCCCTCCTCTCAGTGCATTATGCCAACTATAATCACGTGCTTCATCCTGTTTGCCTGAACAGAACGGCCATGGGTTTAAAAAGCAAAAGGCCTGACTGGTTTAGATGCTTGTACAGAAATTCTATGTGGTGTATATAAGGTTTTATGTCAAAAGATCTATGAAAACATTGCTCTCTCCTCTTTCCACCAGACTTACCACCTGTTTACAACTACCCTTCAATCACCATGGGTTACAAGGCCAGGCCCTCGCCTCCTGAAGCCCGATTGGCCGAACAAACCATGGTGGAGGCAGAGCCAGCAGAACCCGACTCCAAGTCCCTCCCACATCCGTGCCACATCCAGTCTCTCACCAAAGAAGAGGAGAGGAGGGAAGAGGAGGGAGAGAGAGACTGTGAAGTGCTGGAATCCAGGAGTGGAGTTACAGAGGAAGGGAAGGAGGAAAGGCAGGTGGAAGAGAAAGGATCCTCTGACTCCGAGCCTGAGAGCAAGATTTCTGGATCACCACCATGCCCTTCCCCAGCTCCAGGCTCAGATCGAGCCTCTCCAGCTACAGCCATAGACAAAGACCTAAAAGTAGAGCCTACCATGGGTTGCCTAGGCCAGAATGCTGGTCTGGAGGAGCCCCAGCCTTCCAAAGAGCAGGAGGATGATAGGGAACATGAAAAAGAGGACATGGGGGACAAAGGAAAGAAGCTGGAGCATGAACCAACAGAATGTACTTTCTCTGTGCCTGTCAAGCCAGAGAAGGAGGAAGTGGAAGAGAATGGGGTCAAAGATGGACAGAATGTAGTGGTGGTTGAGGCTGAGGAGGAAGAGGAGGGGAGTGAAATCAATCCACGCGGTGGCTTAGTGGAACTAATGTGTGACTCTCCTGCTTCCTCCCTGTCCTCTGACCCTGTCCTCCCTCCTACAGTAACCACAGTAGCCCATCTCCAAGGAGCCTACATGTGGAGCCTGGAGCTCCTGATTGCTGCGGCTCTGTGTGCCACCAGAGATGCCTTGTACCCACCTGTACCAACTGCCCATGCCCCAAGTCCTCCACCCCACCACGGTATGGAGATACTGGGAGAACTGGCTGAGTTGGAAATTCAGCAGAGGAGCAGGAAGAGCAAAGAGAAAGACAGTGAAGGTGAGAAGTTCATTTTGGTTTTTACACTGCAATAGCCTTCATCCCTGACTAATCTGACATTTCTGACCATTTTTAAAATCTCCAAGTTCACAAAATGTCTCTGAAATGAAAACTGTGATTAGGATATGCCGCCAATATTCAGGTGTGTCCTTTGTCATTATATCTTGTGTGAATTTGATATTGTCTTATTACAACAAACAGGACCCAAATGCCCCTGAAGATAAAACATTACCCTACTTCTTTTGTGAAACAGAAACACACACTAACACTGAACCAAAACAAGGGTGTGGGAGATGTGTGCAACCCAGATGTGAAGATTCTTGACTCACACACTAACTGTCTAACTGTCCTACCTCCCTCCCCAGCTCACACTCTCTGTTTTTTGTTTTTGCCCACGGACTATAGCTTTCTCCCTGTGTGTGTATTTGGGGTGGGGGGGGACACAGAGAGATGGACAAACAAGCTGAGCTTCACACACACACATACACAATGCCCACTGTGTCCCCCAGGCTCTGGCGTCTTGCTTTGTTAATTAGACCCTTTCCTCTAAAACACGTCTCCTGTAAGCGCTCCTATTTTGCTCTCGTCCCTCTGAGAGAAAGCATTTTTATTTATGCCAGCATCTGTGTGTGTGTATATTTGCCCGTATTTGTGTGTATGCATGCGCTTGTGTGTGTGTGTGTGTGTGTGTGTGTGTGTGTGTGTGTGTGTGTGTAAGCTGTTAAGTAATCCCAGATGAATCCCTGCTCTCCTCCATCACAGTCAATGCGTCTCTCCACCAGGCTGCTTGCTCCCTGCCTGCTCCTCCTCCCACCTCGCCTCCTCCTCTCTCTTTGTTATTTTTCCCCCCTCACCCACTTCTTCTTTTTCTTTTTTCATTAAACCAGTGTAATCTGGGGTGTAAATCCTGCTTCTGCAAGCCTTGTTGAGGGAATTAATAAGTGTAGAAATCATATGACGCTCTGCAGCTGTCTGTGCATGTGTGTGTGAAATACAGAGTGTGAGTATGCATTTGTTTACATGCATGTGCATGTGGTTAGCATGTGTAATAGGTGTGAAATCAATAAGTCCTGTCCTGGCGTGGAAAACGTCCTCTAAATTGCAACACATTTATTTAAAACCTGCTCCGGCCTTGCTGTATGGAATGTTATTATTAACACCGCTGATGGTGTTTTTTTTTCTTTTTCATCGTGAATGTGTTCGAGAGATGAAACTGATCCCAGACAGATACATTTATGCCGCTGCTTGACGTGGAAGGATATCTCAGCCATTCACTGGAGATTGCAATTACAGATTAAGGAATCAAGAGATACTTTTGCCTCCAGTATAAATTAGCAGCATTACTTCTATTTCCACATAGACAGAGGAGCTGTTTGTGTCATAGTTTCCTTTATCCCTTATATTGAAATTTCAGCTCAATAAACTTACTTAATGACCTCTAATGATGGCTAGGCCCATATCAGCTGTAATGGTTTTTAATTTTCCTCCACTGTTTTTATTTTTCTCCTTCAAATCCCCCGTGCTGCCTCTTATTGCACCCTTCACCCTGTGTGCACACAGTATGGTGTTATTACCGTGTGTGTGTGTGTGTGTGTGTGTGGTATACGGTGGGCGGAAGGTATCTATCGATTGCAGCCATCCTCCGGGATAATAAACCAGGCACGGTGATGTCAGCAGTGATGTCATCCTGTCAGGGTAATTGGAGCATGCCATTGGCTCAGAGGGCTGACAGATGAGATGGCACTGACCTCTGTGAGCCGGGACAGGACAAAGCCACCTCTCTCAGCTTCTTCCCTCTCCCTCTGTCTTTATCTGAGGAGTTACCTGTCATACCCACATCCGTTTGTTCCTTCGTTCACACTTGTTTCTTCTTTATCTGGCTTCACAGATGAGAATCCTTCCTTCCTGCCCTCATCTCTCTATCCTCTGTTTACCACATTTCTGTCTCCATCTCAAACACCCAGGTTTTAATAATGTCAGGTGTCAGTGAATAGGCCTTGTAGCTCCAGTGCACAGACTGAGTAATCCAGTAAAACCTTTCCTCTCCTTGCCTCCTCTCCTCGCTTCCTCTCCTCCTCTGTTCTCCTCGAAGGGGAAATTGGATTCTGTCCATGTCCATAATGAGGAGATGTAGGAGAATAAATAGATAGCTCAATAAACACTTTGCCTCTTATTGCTTCTCCTCCCCTTTACTCCCCACCCTTCGCCCCCTTCTTCTCACTGCATTGCACTTCCCCTCCTCCTCCTCCTCCCTCCAGTCCGTCGTTCTCCTTCTCTCCAATTCCCCCTCACACACTCTCATGCTCATGTCTGCGCAGCTCAGCAAAAATGCTGTAGGTGCATGTGTGAGAGTGAGTGTGTTTTATTTGCATAGGTTTGTGTGTGTGTGTGTGTGTGGGGGGGTCTCATGAATATTCTGTTTCATCTGCTGGGTGCTGTGACAATGACAGAGTTAATGACAATGACAGATGTAGAGATCGTTCTCTACTGCTCCCCTTTGTGTGTGTGTGTCTGTGTTGTTTGTGTGTACGATTAGGCTTGAACACTAGTATACATCAAATAAACTACACAGCTAATATCATAAATATCACCACTGTTCAAGGCATGATTTCATAGCTCCAGAAATAAATCAATTCAGCACTCACTGTGCTTTATAACACTGTGTCAGCCGCTGTGCGACGTACCGATCTTTAAACACAGCCATCGGTCTCCGTGCAGGTGAGGACATGCTGACCTTTGACCTCACCAGTCTGGCGACACTGGCGGCTGCCCGTGCCCTGGAGATGGGTGGAAGGGCTGTGGATGTGGGGGCGGACAAGCAGTGTCCAATCAGGAAGAGACTCAATCTGCGCAGGAAGTGCAGCTGGACGCCTCGCCATGAGCCGGTGAGGCTCGAATGTATATGTGCGCATGCAAACATAAATCATTCACACTGAAAATGTATTAATGTGTTGAGCAATAGAGATTAACATGATTAGTTTTTGTGGTTTTACATTTACAAACAGTTATATGTTTTGTATTTTAGGATTTTATTTGCTACTTTGATTCCAAGTAACTCAACAACTAAAAAGCACAAATTAGCACAAAGGACAAGTCCTTCCTCAGTGATGCAAATATACAGATGTCAGTATCACCCACATGTAACCAGATAAACTGGTAAACAGCTTTAACCTAAAGCTGATAAGTAGACATTGTTGCTTTAAAGCAGTAAATCAGAATTTCACTCTCTAAGAACAAAGCTGTATATTTTATTTTTATGTTGTTTTATTTTAAATTTGCATTTTAAGAAATGTAATGAATAGCGGCCCTTTAAAAGCCTTTTGCTGATGCTAGCTACCTACGTCAACTCGCTTGCATGCAGCACCAGGTTGATCGCTCAAAAAGCCTGGCCTATTAAGGGCAGATGCTGCTGGTAAACAAAGATCAGCTGCTTTGGGAATCAAACTTGTGAGTGTTTGGTAACAGAAAAGTCATCATCAAGCAGCCCAAACACACACAGATTACTTCACACATCCACTGACTGTTAAACCCAGTTTGTGTTCCACATTTAAATTCCTCTGCTTTGTGCATGAATGTGTATCTGTGTGTTTATGTGTGTGTCTGTCAGGTGTGCCCAGTGAAGGGCTCCATGGAGACGATGGGAGGGGAGGAGTTGGCCATGCGTGTCCAGCTGGCTGAGCTACAGCGCCGCTACAAAGAGAAACAGAGAGAACTGGCCAAGCTACAGAGGAAACACGACCACCAGTGAGTAGAGAAAACACACACACACACACACACACACACACACACACTCTTCTTTTTGTCTGAACTGAATCGTGTATTCCAGCATTGACAATTCTGCTGTTGTGCTGCTTCTTCCAGATTTATAAGGACTTGCTGCCTGCTCATACCTAATGCAGTTTGACCTGTAGCCGATACAAGTTTCTTCCTCATTTCTCCTGCTGTCCTGACTGCATCTTTGATCTCTCTCTCTCCCCACCGTCCTCCTTCTCCTTCTTGTCTTCCTCTCTGCAGGAAAGAAGAGATGTCTCGCAGCCCTGCCCGCCGGGGGCCCGGCCGCCCCCGCAAACGCAAGTCCCCCCCTGGCCCAGCTGCTGCAGAGAGCTCCAAAAGACTCAGGTCAGTCCTCTGATATTGCATCAGTATAATCAGGGTGATTGGCAAGCCCAACTCATTCATCCTGATTTCTGTTTGTGTTTTTAGTGAAAGGCACGGTTGATTTTCAAGAAGTTCTTCTTCAGCTGAATTGATTCGAATGCTCTATAGCTGATGATTTGCTTGATTGGGCACTGGAAGGAGCTGCTCACTCCTCCACACACACAGACATGCACACACCCACACGTACACACAGTGGGTTATGTGATGGGAGCTGTGAGCTGGGTATGATTTTAAATTAGAGAAGGTAATGGAGATCAGGCCTTCATTAATCATCATTAATCACTTTTAATCATATTTATCACTTGCATTGATTATGTCCTGATTCCCTGTGAACCTCCAGCATATTAATACAGCTGGACAAAGTCTTGATGTACAGTTATTACAGTGATAAACGACTCGGCACCACCCCCGCCTGCTGCAACACACAACCACACATTATTTAACACCTCAGACATGCACGCTTACATACTGACACACATTCCTGCACATATGCACAAGCAGGGAATGCACACTGACACAGCCAGCGTTTGACGCTCATAATGATAAATGTGTTTTCTCATGCCACCCCACCTCTGTTAGCATGTGCACTCCTCGCCTTGATAAAATGATTAGAGAAACTCCAGGTTTGTCACGTTACCATGATTAGAAAGCGCTAATGAAAATGACAATAAAAAGCTTTAGTCATACATGTCGGTGCACAACACACACACACACACACCAAGAACTTGTTTAATTATGTGCCTGAGTAGCATTTGTGTTGTTATTAACAAGCAATGTATCATTTGTTTATGCGTTCATCTTCTCGTGAAAGCCGGGGGTTGGAATGAAACAGAGAGAGTGACGACCTTTTGAAGCTTAACAGATTATTCCTCTTGATACACACATACTGTACTGTAAAACTATATGGCTAAAAGTATAACACCTGAACATGCTCAACATGTCAAAGAACATGGCATTAATATGCTGGTCCGACGGCTTCCATTCTCATGGGAAGGCTTTCCCCAAGATCCTGGGTAAAGGGATTTGCTCCTATTCAACCACAGGAGCATTAGGAATGTTGGGAAATAAAGGCTAAGGTATTCTTAAAACTAAATAATTCATGTGGTGTGTCACCATGTCTGTGGCCAAAATCTAAGCAGGTGTTCTGAAAGGCTACACTCAAAAGTGGGGTGGGTGTTCTGAAAGGCTACACTCAAAAGTAGGGTGAAAACCTGGCATAAAAATGTCCAAAAGAGAGACTGACAAAGCAGTTCAAATCCTGCATATCCACTCACCTCTGCACACTTGAACAGTCACCTCATCAAGAATGTTGGTTTTGAAAAGTACTACAATTGTCGATTGCATCAGAAAGGTGCTGGTGATAGAGGTTTCAGACACTGTTTGAGATTCCAACAAACACAGTAGTTTGAAGTGTACTGATTCTTTAGGGCCTGGTTTGCAGTTGGCAGTCCCACTAATACCAAAGGTGTTTACTGTGCAAGCCAGTTAAGCTCTTCCAAACCAAACCAGGAAAACCAGTGTTTGATGACCCTGTGTTTATGCACCGTGGCAGTGAAACAGAACAGGGTCTTCCCTAAATTGTCACAAAGGTGGAAGCACCCTTTAGATATTAAATATCATTAAAGGATTAAGATTCCCTTTAATCTGAAGTAAAGGCCTTATCTGACCATGAAAAACAGCCCCAGGCTAAATGTATGCAAGTAGTGATCACATTCTTTTTGGCAATATGTGCTGGTGTACACAGTGTCCACGTACAGTCATTGGTGAAGACGTGATATGATGTAAACTTAGGGGCTTAGAAGCTCAGAGGGGTCAGAGATGATCAGTCACACAAGGGAACTGCAACAGACAAATGCAGTGTGGATGGATAGAAAAGGAGATCCTTCAGATTATTTTAGATGGATTATTATTATCTCTCCACTCTTTGCTCTTCTTTCCTCTCCTCTCCACTTGTCTCCTCTCCTCTCTTCTCCTCTCCTCTTTCAGCATCTCACTCCCCTCCTAGGAGTAGGATGCTGAGAGCCAAACCTTCCCTCTGTGGGACTATAGGATTCACCTGCCTCAGACACCAGCTGCTAACATTGTGTGCGTGTGTGTGTGTGTGTGTGTGTGTGTGTGTGTGTGTGCTGTCTGCTTGTGGTGTGAGCGAGCATGTGTACAATGAAGAAAGGCCAGAGAGAGGGAGAGAGAGAGGGAGAGAGAGGAAGGGAGGAGTAGTGTTCAATAGAGGTTAGTGTTTATCGATCTAGCCCTGAAGCTCCGGTCAACGGACAGACTCCCCGGAGACTGCTTCATCTCTCTCTCTGTCTCTTTTCCTTCCCCCTCAACTATTCTCCTCCTTCCTCTGTCTGTCTCTCTCATCTCTTCTCCACTCTCCTTCACACCAGATAATTCTTATCCTTTCATGTGGTGATTGAGCAGAGTTTCATATTCGCACAGCCTCTGAATATTTCTGTGTTTGCAATCAAACTGTGCAGACATGCGGCAGAGCCTGTCTCTTATGAAACTGAAAAAAAAAGAGTGGGAAGCGAGTGAGACAATGAATGAACCCAGAAGAGAGGGAAGTGATCAGATTCATTTTATGATTATATGCATGATATTTTTTTAAGTGCTGGGTTTTTATGTTTTCCAGGGCCAACTTAAATTTACTGGAAGAAAAAGACAGGAAGAAAATGTCCAGTCACAGCTTCAGCAGCCTCAGTGCTGCACAGGTTGGTCCCTTTATGGTCTCCCCTGGTTCATACACACACACACGCTAACAACCACTTCCTGCTGCTAATGTTTTTTCTTTCCTGGATGTTTCAATTAGGAGAAAGAAATGAGTCAGTAATTAGCTGTTTCACTCCCTGTCTACAGATGAAAGCCCGCTGTAAGCACAGAGGTCGGTCCAGTGCCCTGAGCTCCAGGCTGGCAAGACGGGTGACCCAGCTGAAGCAGAAGGCTGCAGCCCAGCGTGGTGCCCCATCAGAAGCCATACTGCACTGCAGAGGGGCCCTGGGAGCACGAGAGACCCCCAAGAGTCAATGTAGACAAGGAGGGAAAGGTGAGGACAGAGAGCATTTATGCACACCTTTGTTCATTAGGTAGCACCCCTACTCTAAACCTCTTCTGTTGATCCATCAGATCTTCACACCTGGTCAGATGGTGAAAAGGAAGAGGGGTCGAAAGCCTAAAGTGCTGATGGATGCTGTCTTGAAAAGAGCTCCTCACAAGGACAGCCATGCCTTGGAGAAGAAGGAAGTTCGAGAAGAGAAGAGTGACAGTGAGAGCTCAGACCATGGTGAGTTTTTCTCAATATGTAGCTGATCTATCCTCCAGCCAAACAAGGATCCTGCAGATGATGCCTTGGCTATAAAGAATGACAACATAAAATGCCACGAAAACAATCCTGTGGTCTATTATTTAACCACTCTTTGTGGAAAAGACATTTTCCTCTGGACCATCACTGGCTGCTGAGAGATTTATAGCGCAACCACAACTGATCAGCGAGGTGGAGTTCATAGACAGTTACACATATGAGTCAGTGTTGATTTACTCACAGAAAGGCTGAGACACTGTGAGATTTTGCTATGAGAGTATGTGTGTGTGTGTGTGTGTGTGTGTGTGTGCGTATGTGTGTGTGAGCATGAAGCATCTTGAGAGTGAGATGTCTGCCATCATCAGGAGTCTCCTCTCACTTCCCAGCTCGTCTCTCACACCGTTAAAAACCGTTAATGACTTGCCACAGGCATGCAACACAGCCACCCCTGCCCTCAACACGGTACGGTAACGTGAGCCTGCACCGGCCCCATTCAGAATGTCACACCCCATCCTCCTCTCTCTTCTTCACCTCTCTAACTTCGTGAAAATGGCCTCCTTGGATGCCTTGAGTTGAGAAGACACGATGACACCCCTCTTGACTTTAAAATAAACGCCTCACAGGAAAGGACAGAAAAACTTCAGGAAAACGCGGGACCCTAACTGACCTTGTGACCTTGATGGCACAGAGATGTAGAGGCTTTACAGTATGTGTGTGTGTTTGTCAGTGTTTGTGTATGTGGCTGAGGCAAAGTGTTGATGAGAAAGCCGTGGAAGTGACAAGTGTGTCAGAGATGTGTCAACATCTGACACGACCCCCATAGCTGCCACACAGCTGCCAATAGCAATCTCTGTGTGTGTGGATGCAGTGCTGCATATGTGCACGTGTGACAACATTTGCTTCTAATCACTGCAATCAAGGAAGAAGCCAAGTATTATTGTGTAACCATTAAGGCAGGAGATAATATGTGACAAAATGACCCACTTTAAAGAGAAAACTTTGATCAAACACCAGTGGATCGGTGACACCACACACATGCGCACACACACAGACATCGGTGTGAATATATCACCTGAAGTGTGGCCCTGGCCTTTGCTTTCTGACTGATCATATTGATGCTGTGATTCCACAGATGAGGAGGAGGATGGCAGCTATGACAGTGAAGATGGAGCCAGTGACATCAAGATCAGCTCATCCTCTAAAGAAGCTCCTGCAAACTCTACTGGAATTATGCCTTTTTTATCACAGCCCTCCAAGTTCCAAACAAACCAGAAAGCCAGGAGTAAGAGACCAGGGCCTCCCGGTGAGATATTTAGATACATTTTTTAATATATGTATATGTCATATAAAGACCTGCACCTTAACTGTTTTTGTTTTATGGTTTTTTTTTTTTAGTTTTTGACTTAAACTGAAGCATCACACATTTTGTTTAAAATCTCAGAAGATTAACTCTAAATCCTGTCGATGGGTTACCAGCTTTAATCCCAAGTAGAGTGTGTATACCCAAACCGAGCCCAAAGAGACCCGTCAGTACTCAACTGCATCAGGCTCAGGTTGGGTTTGGACAGAAATGCACAGCTGATCCATGCTCTAGGAGCGGGCCATATGGTCCCTTAGTCGAGTTGACGTTAGTGATGTTGGTATGATGGCCAAGCAGCTGTAATGAGTCTTGGCTCATTTCACACTTCTAGAAGGGTCTAATATAATCAGAAAATTGTACTGGCTAACTTCTAAGACCAGTACAGGACAACATTTCACATGGGAGCACCCAGCTACAGTGGTTACAGTGCTTGCTGCAACATCCTGATTCAATTACAGACTGGAACCTTTGTTACATGTCATATCCCTTTCTCTTCCCATGTTCCCTAATATCACAGTACTGAGTTTCTATCAATTTATCTGCAAGCTCAAACTTCCTTTATTCCTTCTTTACCTTCAGACATGGGGAGCATGCCCAGTACAGATCAAAAGAGAGCACCCAGAAGGCTGAGCTTCATCTACACAGAAAAAGGACGTCCAGACCATCAGGGGACTAAAAGAACCTCACTGCCCAACTGGGGTGTATCATCGGTGTGTTGCAGCTTCGGGGATGGTCGGGGGAACCACAGGGCTCGGATGGAAGTAGACAAAGCCAACAAAGAAGCTGTGAGGAAGAGCTCAGCAGGACCGGGCATCCTGGGAAAAGTGAGATATTACAAGTGTCGGGTGGTGACATACAGTGGCAATTAAACAACCAATTGAATTGTTCCCTGACAACAGTGATTTATGGTGCTAGGAAACGCCTTTAAGTTACACCCTCCAAACTGAAATTTGCATCTTGCATTTCTCTCCTGAGTGTTTTTCCTGTGCACTTCTGTGTTAATTCATAGCACTGAAACACAGTTTTTCTGCTCCCCTTGAAGCTTCCTTGATCTTTGTACAACTTCCAAAGCATGATAGCTGCTGATCACCTTCATTAGTAGATCATGTGTTTGAAAAACACGCCCTGACCATATTCTGTCAATTAAAGCTAAACTGGCAAAGAAGCTGACAATATATGAACACAATAACTGGCAAAGAAGCTGACAATATATGAAGCTAAAATCCTGTTGGTTAGAACTGATATTATGTACCAATAACATCTGCTCCCTTACACAGAGACCCTTAGCATCAGCTGCAAATCATTCACAATGTCAAACATACCATTTGCTCTTGTTAAAGGTGTGTGCCTGCTGTGCTAACACATCTCCACTGTGTTTGTGCAGGCAGCTATTGTTGACGAGACACCTGCATTCATTTCAATTAGAAATGCCCCAAGGTTACTTTAGTCTTTGAGTCACAGTAAGGGAATGTCCAAAAAACACATAACTCCAAACCAAACAGAGACGTATAAAGATAATCATTGGCCATAGCCCTACACACCCATGCATGCCTGTACACACACACACACACACACACACACACACAACACTAGCACTAAAGGGATGATCACCCATGCCCTCTGGTGAAGAAACCTATGTCACTAAAATATATGGTCTCCTGTTGTTAAAAACCCCAAGAGGCGTGCATATGAATGTACACACACACACACACACACACACAAACCTTAACCCTTGCATTGAATATTATGGTATTTTCTCTGGAATGCCTCAATACAAGCAGAAACCTGTTGGGTGAGCTGACTTTCCATCATCAGTCATCATCAGATAGACTAGCCTAAACCGGTATGGAGATGGGTAGTATCTGGTGTCTGTATGTGTGTATCTGAATGTAAGAAGGTAAATTAGGGTGTCTGTATTAGCAGGTGCCCACCCTGCTGAAGTGTCCTTGAGCAATACATTTAAATCCTGCCAGTTCAAAAGCTGCAGTTATTATTGATCATTATTTATGACCTTTTCAGTGAACAATGGCCCGTGAGAAAAAGAAAATCCTGCTGGATTATTAACTTATCATGTTACAAGAGGCGTCAATACACAGATGAACATACACCTGCAGATCCTGTTTGGTGATTAGTTTGGGTATATAATGAAGTGAAGCCATATCTTGCTTTCTTTCTACTGATGTCACATCCTGCTTCCCATCCAGGCCAAGGGCCACGCAGTGAGCCAACTCCTGCAGAGCTTTACAGATGACGACGGCTTTCAGTTGGATGAGGAAAGCAGCTTCTCGGAGGGTGAAGGGGAAGAGAATGAAGAGGAGGCAAACGAGAAGAAGTCAATGCACCTTCCTCCCAACATGCCTTGCAGAATCCCTGGTAGGCATAAACAATGACACATCATTTATAATTACACACACATGTTGGGTTTAAAAGCATGTTAGATCCTTTTCACACATGCACACACACCTCTCTCCCTGTCTCTTTTGTCCTTCTTCCTCACTTCACATTGCAATTATTCAGCACACTCACAAATTATGTATATCACACCCTTTATCTTGCTCATCCATCCATCTTTCTGCCACACCCTCCCCAGCTCTGCCAAACTGTGTGCTGAGTAAAGAGATGTTGGTGGATGGGCTGAAGATCCTGATCTCTAAGGAGGACGAGCTGCTGTATGCTGCCTGTGTCCAAACCCTGGACCTGCCTGACATGTAAGACCCTGCTTCATTGCTATCCTTCCACAAATACAAAACCTATAAACCCAATTAAATATCTAGAGAGAATCTTGACAAACAGGAAATGGAGACAACCTCAAAGCCAAAGTACACAGCAACTGCAGCCAACACAGCTGCCTGCAAAGTAACCGAGCACTTGTGACAAAAACTCTAATCTATAATAACTTACAATTTAAGATGACAGTTTGGTTTCTGATGATTTTTTAAAAATTCATTCCCTTTCTTTTTTTTTTTAGATTCAGTGTCGTCATTGAAGGGGAACGAGGGAATCGCCCCAGGATCTACTCACTGGAGCAGCTACTACAGGAAGCAGTGAGTTTCATACTTGAGGCTCTATAGCATCTATTACATTTAGCATGTTTGCAGGTAGTTGTGCAGTGCTGGGTAGTTGAAACTCAAACTCCCCAAGTATTATATAGAGAATTTTATGATTTCTTAAGGTGTTGGACGTGCGGCCCCAGACCGAAGCCATCTTGACCGCAGGAACGCGAGTGTGTGCCTACTGGAGTGAGCGCTCTCGCTGTCTTTACCCTGGATATGTCCATCGAGGTGACCGAGCCGCACCGATGACCTCACTTTGCACACATTCACTCATTAATTCTCAGCAACTCATGTCTTCCATTTTATGCTGTGCTTCAGGAGGTCCAGGCGAGGAGGAGAAGGAGGGCAGCGTGATGGTGGAGTTTGATGATGGAGACAGAGGAAGGATCTCCCTTGCAAACATCAGACTTCTGCCCCCAGGATACCAAATCTGCTGTGAGTATGTCTTTGTGTAGATTGAATGGGGGAGGGGGGAGTGCATACTAGAGTGTGGATACCCAAATGGAACTTGGTACCCAAGGTTTTGCCAGGTTCACACAGAAATTTGGAAATTATGTTCCGGTCCGGGTTTGGACACATAGGTCAAATATCTGCTTCTTTTAATGATAAGGCCGGGTTTGATTTGGACATTATATACTATGTCAGGCGTGCGTTGGGTTCAGATGCCACATTCTCGGGCACAGATTGAGTTCAGACAGAAATATGTGGCCCTATCCGTGCTCTAGTGCATACTAAAGAATGGAGTGAATGAATAAATGAGCGCCATCATTAAACAACCCCTCTCCTTCAGGTGCGGAACCCTCTCCAGCACTTCTGATATCCCCTGGTTGCCGTGGTCGACGAAGCTTCACCCAGGAGAAGAAAGACACACCCACAGAGAAAGCAGCCAGTGACGAGCCAGCAGGAAGACCTCAGGAGAAAAGGCCAGGTGAGGGAGAAGAGAACACATGCAGTACTCTGCTCTGGAGCACACATCCTCTACTTGTTTATTTCATGCTTTGTCACTGCTCTAAATAATGTTTTCTAAAGATCTGGACAATCATTTATCATAAACTATTACATAGTATATAGTTTATAATATCTGAAGAATCCACTCAGGAATGTTACTCAAACACTACATTTCTAATGCTGTCTCAGAAGTACTGGTCTAACTAGTAAACATATTCACACAAAGCCCTTCAGGCCATTTTAAATTCCAAAAAACACATCTTTGTTTACTGTTCCAACTGAATTATCAAATGCCACCGAGTTGGATCATAACACTCAGTGAAGGTATATAAACCAAAGGTTCCTTGTTTGCTGCCAGTTATTTACCTTATACATGCCCACATCATTCATGATTTTATGACGCACCAACAGTGTGCTTTGTGTAGTTAAGCAACATACATGTAACTCGTCAAAAGCTGAGGGTGACAGTAAAGCTGGGGGCACGAGACAGGTTCACCAGGTTTGTTGTAGTTTGAGTAATGGATATGTCGAAACATACCTGGCTAGGTGAAGATCAAGGAGATAAAGATATTAAGTTTCTCTAAAGCTCTTAGTTCCGCAATTAATCTCAGTCTGCCCTTAAGACCTGTCAGTTCATATTGATTATAAGTCTTTTCTATTGCTGGCTCCTTTTTCAGTTGGCAGACCGAAGAAAATCCATTCAGTGCCTAAAACTGCCAGCACACCAACATCAGTAACAGACACTGTTATCAAAAGCAACACTTCCTTGTTGAACTGGTCTACGCCCAGGAAGAAACCACCTGTTGACTTTTTCCTTTTCAATGGGACATCTCGTAAGACCCAAAGGAGGATACGAGAACGAGACTTGGGGCTGTTTCATCGCCCTGCCTCCCACCCTCTTGCTCCCCCAAGTCCTATCAAAGGTATCTTTGGCTCCCCTTTTGAAGTTGATTCATTCAGTAGCATTGCCAATGGCTACTCTGCCTTTGGAAGTAGTGGAAACACTGGAGCCGGACGACTTGTTACCACAGTCACTTCCATGGGGCATCGGGACTCCTCCTCCTCTACTTGCTCCTCAAATATCACCATGGCAATGGCAGCTGGGAGCAGGAAGCCAGTGAGCGAACGTGACAGGAGACAGTTCCTGATAAAGCTTGACCATGAAGGAGTGACCTCTCCTAAAACAAAGAATAGCAAAGCTCTGCTTCGACTTGGCGGGGGTGGAGGGAGAGGTGGAAAGAGCCTCGCTTCCACAGGAGCACCACTGAGATACATCCACCCCTCGCTGCTGGTGAAGGATGGCAAGAAGGGAGCAGGGGACAGAGACAGTGCTGGGACCCACTCCGAGGCTCTTCTAAAGGGTGCTCCACCTCTGAGGAAGGATCTTCTGTCAACTGGTCTCGGAGTCCAAGGTGGAGATTACAGTTTGGACTACCCAAGCGACTGCCCCAGCTCCTACTCTGAGCTGGATGAGGATGATGAAGATGACAGTCAAGATGCTGAAGCACGTAGAAGAAATGCAGAAGTCACATCTCACCGTGGTGGTCGCTTTCTGTCTCGTCTCGCTGTGTGCTTCTCCTCATCGTCATCCTCATCTTCGTCCTCCGGTTCCATCTCATCCTCGTCTCTCTGCTCCTCAGACAACGATTCCTCCTACTCTTCTGATGAAGAGTCCTCATCAGTTCTTCTGCGCCGTGCTCTTCTCCAGCAAGATAAACAGAAGCACAGGCACAACATGACCTCCAACCTCCTGAGCCCTGAAGCTACCACCTCCAAAAGCTCTCCTTCTTCCTCAGCCCCAGCTCATGGTTATGTGGCCAAAGCCAACATGGCTGTCTCAGGGTCAAAGGCAAGGGCTGACAGAGCAGAAGACAGGAAGGAGTTCATATCAAAAGGGAGTATGGCGGCTAACAGCAGCACAGCTAAGACCCAGGTGAAGAGGAAAGAAGGAATCTCTAACAGCCACCATCATAGCCAGCAGGAAAAACTTACTTCCAAGGACCCAGCAACAGCTAAGAGGCAGAGGATGTCCTCACCTGAGTCTCTGGGCAACATGGCTCCCCAGGTGCCTGGACGCCAGCTGTGGAAATGGTCCGGTAATCCTACACAGGTAGGATGTTTTTCTGCATACGAGATGTTGTTGAAGAGGTGGCTGCTGGTGAATAATCTCAGAATTTGTTGTTTTGCCAAGATCTTTGTTTTGGGTAGGCTTTCTTCTTTACATCACTGTACTGCAGAACTTGTTCCTCATTACTGAATCCCATATTACATTGGAATCCTGTCTTAATCAGTCAGAGTTTTCTCACACTCGCACTGTATCATCATGGTTTTATTTTTTCAAAATGGTTGTCTTGGTTATCAGTAACCTACTTAAATTACTATCTTTGCAGGTTACTGTTTGCTGTTGCAGTTTCTGCTATGTCCCACCTTGATTTCATACAGTAGATGCAACAATCAAATATGATGTCCTAACACTGCTTAATCTGCCTCAGACTCAAAACACACCGATGTGCTTTATCGGGCTTAGTGTGGTTAATCTCTGAATTTGCTATCCTGACTATTACTTTGTGATCCTGAAATAATGGAACAAAATGGTCTGAGCAACCTCTGCTACAATGACTTTCCATCCTGCCATATTGTTTGTTTCTATGTTACCCAGGTTATAGTTTGTGATGATGATTTGTTTCAGAGAAACTTGGTGGTGTAACTGTGAACTTACACCTCTAACACATATTTATTTGTGATATAAAATCTTACTAAACTTGGGTTAGCAAAATAAAAAACCCAAAATAATCTTTGAAATGAAGCTTTGGCTGAGATAAAGCTGCACACTGAGTAAGTCGACTGACGCAGCTATCTTTATTCTCTTTCTTGGACAGAGGAGAGGTCTGAAAGGTAAAGCACGCAAGCTTTTCTACAAGGCCATTGTGCGGGGCAAGGAGACAGTACGTGTTGGGGACTGTGCTGTGTTCCTGTCACCTGGGCGGCCCCAGCTGCCCTATGTGGGCAGAGTGGAGAGCCTCTGGGAGTCGTGGAGCTCCAGCATGGTGGTCAGGGTCAAGTGGTTTTACCACCCAGAGGAGACTCGCTTGGGGAGGCGACACCGCGACGGCAAGGTAAAGACCAGAGTGCAAGTAGTACTTCTAAAACAGGAATGGTTAGAGTAACAGACTTTGACATTTTCATGGAGATATATTACTACTTTGCTTATTTTTATTTTATTTCTAGTTCTCTTTTGACATGCATGACTGAATTTCCACTTAGGTCATGAAATATTTGTAGCTCTGAATCCTCAGTGTAAGGTGAGGCTTCTCCAGGACAAAATCTCTTCTGCATAGGAAGTCATGCATTTCACATTTAAGGAAACAGCATAGACATAACAATCCTGCAACTATCCACTTACTATTTCTATTGTGAAATCAACTGTAAAAGCAACATTTTGATCTTCTGTACCGTTCATCCTGTTTCTGTCCTAGAATGCTTTGTATCAGTCAAGCCATGAGGATGAGAACGACGTGCAGACCATTTCCCATCGCTGCCAGGTGGTCAGCAGGGCCGAGTATGATCACCTCATATGTGAGCGCAAGCCCGGCAACACGGTGAATGACCTGTTCTATCTGGCCGGAACCTATGAACCTACCACAGGCCAGCTGATCAGTGCTGATGGCATGGCCATTGTGCCATAGCACCGTCAGCTAGAGTGAAATCCAAATATTGACCTGAACTCTGAAGTTGACTGCTTCTAGGATGGTCCTTCAGAACAGAGCAGGGGACAGAGGAAACCAAGACAAGAGTCTGGACTCTGCATATTGATCTGTCCCTTGTAAGAGAAGGAGCTAGCCCGCTGGATAAAGCCCGGCTGTACTGGCACTTGAGGAGTCCGGGCTTGCTCTGGGGAAGGGTCTGACCCATGTTAGGTTTAACCCCTTTATTAGATGTGGACTGAGGGTCCTGATCATAAGGGGAGTCTTCAGCCTTCCCTGTGGCTGAAATAAGAGTATCTTGTCACTGTGACAAGATTACTGCAACAGGAGAACACGAACCAAGGACATAAGCACTTTGGAGTACAGCAGCTGTGGAGGGAGGGTGGCAGGCACTCTGAGAGTGTATGATAAGGAGAGACTTACAGTAACCCACACTGGTTTGGATGGTTTTGGTGGTCTAATACTGCTAGTTTGATAATGACAGCGCAATTGGGAGATCCCCAAGAGGACCAAAAAAACACTGTAGTTCGGACTTGTGTGTGTAAATGCGTGTGTTTGCAGAGTGGTTGCAATCATCCTGTTTGGCATTTAATAAGCTCTAAGTAAACAGCGCTTTAGCGTGTGTTTGTACTGTATGTGCGTGAGTATGTGTGTGGTGTGCACGTGTACGTCTGTGCTCATCAAGCGAAAGATGACTTGATGACACTCTGCCGGTATGTCTTTAACACTCTGAATATTAATCTATCCAGTACTTAACATGCAGTTTTTGGTCCTTACGACCGGAACACAAAACGATTTTCTTTTTCTCCTGTCAAGCCATACACGTCAATACCTCTCTCTCTCGCATCCTCCTGTTCAGGTGCGAAGATTCATGTACAGGTAGTTGGATTATTTGAAGTGTTCATGCGTATGTGTGCATGGGCGAGCGTGTGCGCTTTGTACAGGAATACATATAAAATAACACGTTGTAAATAGTATTCATATATATTTGCTCTTTGTTTTTCTTTGCAGAGAAGATTATTTTATTTAGATTTTTTAGGGTGTGTGGGTGGGTTGAGGGGGCGGGGGTCTCGCAGATGGAGGACGTTGGGTTAAATTTCCTTCTCTCACAATGCACTGAACAGGATTGGAGGCAACTGATGTGAAGACTTTGTGCTTGTAAGCCCTTTAGGGATGAATATGTAGAAAAGGTTTTTGGGAAATATTGTTATAAGCAACTCAGAAAAAGGCTCTTTTTCAAAATGTGTCCAAAATGTTTTTTTTTTTCTTTTTCTTTTGCTCTGTTGGGTTCAGAATGTGCATTTCCTGTTGGGAATTTTTTCCCCACAAATACTGGAAAAGAAACAGAGTTTCTGCTGTTCTCTGATCCTAAAAGAATCTAGCTTTTCTTTATCTATTTTAGCCTGTATTCCTATATAAAATGTTCATATTTATCTGGCATCAAAAAGAAACATACCAAAGCACCTGTGAGTTTACGCTTCACTGCATTAGAAGAAAACAGTTTTATGAAAAAGAGGAAAAAAGACGTCGAATCAAATCTGAATCCGGGACCCCTGCAATCACCGAGGTATTTGAAGTAGAGTTCCTCTTCGTTGTCTGTTCGTGTTCACCCAGCGTTGCTATGACAGCCTCTGAGAAATGTTGCAGAAACATTGTCTGCATGCTGCCCAGCTGATGCACTCGAGATCGCTATGGCAACCAGAATGGCATCACGTGACTGTGAAGGACAATCAGAGCCAATCAATGGGACAATGTTGAGAGACAAAAAACAAGATAAGAATCAAATCACAAATTATGCTTCTTGTCACTTTTATTCCTGCTTTGCCAAAAATGTCTCTGTGTTTGTTTTGTGTTTGCTTGTTTTCCTTGTTTACCATTGTCTTACTGTTTATGCAAGCCCATGATGACTGTTTGTCGTCAGTGTATAGGATGTACAGGGGAAAAGAATATGAATGCCTTTTTCTTTTTTAGGACATTGATTGACAACAATGTTGCTGTTACACTGCAAAGCAAAAGCTTTAAAAGGAACCTAATGTGAAATTCAGTTTTAAAATATAACTTTTATGGGTCTTTAATTGAATTATTTTTTAAAAGCTGTATTTTCTTTAATAAAACACTGGATTCAGTTCTAATCATCACATTTTGACAGAAGCGAAATCATTGTGTTTTTTTTAGACCCACTGGAACCTGCTTTGTACGGTCGAGATAGCCTACTAAAATATATTATGTGATTTCAGTCTTTCTTTGGAAATATAACTTAAATATTTCCTCATGTACAAAAAGAAAAAAATTATTTATCTTAATTTTATTGCCCTCATGTGTTTCATTAAATAAAAGACTCTTACAAAACAAAACATCACAGTTGTTTCACCCTTTCCTGCCTCTGAATACCGCCTTGTGTTCATCAATGCCAATCATTTGTCTGCTGGGAAAATGGACCACAGAAGAAAGTGTGGAAGAATGAGAAGGGAGTGGAGGGGGGGGTGGAGGAAAACACGAGAGAAGGAAGCAATTTGAAACCGGAGCAGTAGGGGAGAGAAAGGGAAACTGTATCTAGTAGTGTTTCAAGAGAGACGACTGCATGAAGTGTCCTCAGGCTGTACGGGTGGGTCAGGTATTTAGAATAATAAAATGAAACAGAACCATTAAAAGAGCAAAGCCAGTATATCAGCTTTCAATCGGCAAAGATTTCAAATCCTCAATCTCTGCATATGCATGTGTGTGAATGCAAAAATACAGCTCACATGTGAGGCTTCTGTTTACACCAATATAAAGGCACACCATGTGAATGCATTCCTGTATCTGTGTGTGTGTGTAATGTGAGAGCTGAGAAGAACAGTTGAGATTATTCCCTGCACGGGGTGGAGTTTCTGGGACAAAGTGCCCAAATTTACTACATTTTATCTGAGACATCTTGCCACATATTCACACCTTTTAATCACACTGTAACTGGAGCCTTTGTGATGCAGTTTATGGCAACATTAAAGTCTGGATGGAGGATTTACCTTTGACCTCAAATTACAGTCTGGTTGCCTCGTGGCAGCACACGAGGAGAGCTCGATGTTGCCTTGAACATCGGCCGTAAACTTTTACTCTGAGCTGTGCTTTTAATGTCCACCACTCCTTCCCCATTTTTCCTTTTTTACTTGTCATTACAGGAAAAGTTGACTCACCTTTTTTTTTCTTAATAACTTTGCTAATGGTCCTTGGCCATAGTTTGAAACCAAACACAAATATTCACATTCAAGCCATTTGTCTAGCAGTATGTGTGAATGTTTGTGTTTGCTTTTCTTTTGTCTTCCACTGTTTCGTCAGTTTAACTTGTTATTATAAACATAGGAAACAGTGCGCCTGCCAGTCTGACCACACACATTCACCCATTCTGCTCACTGTTGGTCTTTTACGTCCTCCTGATTGGCTCCTCAATCAACCAACGCCTTCAGAACACACAGACATTAAGTGCCGTCTTTGACTCCTTATCAGCAGGTTTGCATTGGGCTTATCTGGTTGACATTGTTAAACTACTTTACCCAGAATGCTGCAGGAGATAGGGGCACAATGGAAGGCTGGGGGTGCCCTCTGGGTTAATGAGAGAGGGCTTTCATGTCGTAAGAGCAAACATGCCCCAAGCTGATTTGTGTGTGTATGTAAAGGGTCAAAGTGTCAGAGCAAGGTGTGGCAGTTTCTTTTTGTATTTTTTTTTTTTTTTCATTTTTGGGTTGGGGATTGGTGGAGACACCACCTCTGAAGCATGTCACCCACCTAGAAGAGACTACAGGCTGTGAGTGGCTCCATTGGTGTGTATACACATGCTTGAATTAGTGAGAGTTCAGACTGAGTGCGGTAAAATACAACCCCCTGCTGTGTTTTTACACAAGGGGCTGCATTAGTTTGGGGGGTGAGGGATTGCAGGGGGAGTGTTGTAGGCATGTATGATACGGCCACATTGTGATGAGTTGCTGTGAGTGGTTTCATTCACATTTCCAGCCTGTGAGTCTCCACTGTTTTTTGGTTAGCCATGCTGCTAATATAGCCGACCTTAGCACTAATTTCTACCACCAGTGTGTCATGGTGTGACCCAAATTTGATAGTGAATAGCAGCAAATGCTCAAAAGAGTGCTCTTCCTGTGAGGGTCTAAGTTCCAAGCATCTCCTGTATGTGACTGGTCAAAGCAGTGCCTTTGCTGAATGATGTCTCCGTCTGGTGCAGCAAAAGTTGAACCAGATCCAACTTTTTTGCTGCATGGGGCTGCAATGTTTTGCCAGAGCCCCCTTGCCAGGATGGTGAAGTGAACACAATCCCCCATAAAAATCAGTGAGGAGGGTGGTGTTTTTCACACCTTTGAAAGTCAGTCTGAACCCGACTGTATTATTTGCTTCTGTTTGTGTGAGTGTGTGTTTTCTGCTTTATTATGCGCATATGGAAGAGGAATAGAGAAAAGGGGGGGGGGGTTGAAATGGCAAAATTTGGTGAATTCAAAAAGAAAACGTGTAAACCTGTAAGTGTGTGTGTGTGTTGGGAGGGTTCCAATCCAGAAAAAAACCTTCCATTTAGACATAGCCTGAGTATGTCAATGAAGTGAATGAATGGCTGTCAGCTGCAGTTGGGATGCTGCGTGTGTGTGTGTGTGTTTGGGTACATTCAGGTCACTCAGAGTGGGAGTAAGGAGATCAGCTGCCGTCTCTGCATCACCTCATCCATCGTTCATATGAGCCTCTGTGAGCTCGCCACCGGTATTACTATCTGTGTCTCTGTGTGTGTGTGCATATGTGTGTGTGTGTGTAAGAGAGAGACATTGTAGATGTCCGTATAGCCGATCTGACTCAGTGGTAGTTGTGCAACGTATTCTGTGGCAACAGATGGTAGGCTTACATAAATCATGGATTCTTGGCAGTGTGGAATTCATGTCCGTGTTCTCCTACATTACAACAAATCTCTACTGTTCTTCCTATTTCCCTCAGTTTTATGACTCATCTCACTTTCCGGATCATTACACAGAATATTTAAGGAAATAACTGTATAAAATATCTCATAGATATGTATATATTAGGGTGATATGTTCAGTTCTATAATGAAGCAGAAAATGTTTCACTAAGCTCAGACAGCAGAGAGTTAATGTTTATTTTTACACATCTGTTTTACATCAGTGTTTGACGCTCATGGTCAAATTTTTGTAGAGTAAAAGTTTAGACTGTACTGGATCTAAAATGGGTAAAATCAACATTAACAAACCTATTATAGGCCTACTGTTATTTAATTAGGTGAACCATTGGTGAATTGTGGCTCCAACAGACATAACTGACATCTAAAGTAGATGTATCAGGTATTATTATTATTATTATTATTATTATTGTTAGATTTCAGACAACAAAACGTTCAACTGATTTATTTGATATATAATGGATATTTAGTTATTTACTAAAATTTTTCTACATTTTACACTTTTTGTGTTTTTCTGTTTTGATGTTTCTACATCTTTAATTAAATTATTTTACATAAAAATTGCAATTAGAAATGTATGATTATTTTCCCCAATATAGATGTCTGACTCAATAATAACTCAAAGGGAAAATCTTTTCTAAGAGCTCTTTGTAAATTACTGAAAATTGTATGTTTCATTTAATTAAAACACAGTAGTTAATATTATCTGCAAAGAAAAAATATTTTTTATACTGACAATGCTAATTTCAATCCATTTAAATGATAAAAAAGCCTAATTTGAGACTATTAAAAAAATGTGCATTTAAATAAATGTTCCAATTCACTGTGCTTTACCTAAACTGAAGAAGAGCAGAGGGATGGTGCAAGAGCAGGAGATGATAACTGTTTTATAGCCAGTATGCTCAGGGTCATGTAGGGTCAAACTCCCCCCATAACCACATAATCCACAAGATTTGAACACGAAACTGTAGAAAAACCTCCATAATGATTCCCCCCCCTCTTAATGCAGGCAAGACAGACTCCACACACACACACACACACACACACACACACACACCTCAGGTTGTACATTACACAGAGCAGCTCTGGTGGTTATCACTGATGCTGGTATTTGATATTTGGAATAGTAGAGGAGTCTTGGCCGGCTCAAGGCTGCCCGCCCTGATGGCAGAATAGGTCAGACATCCTGTAAAGTCTTAGTGGACACAGCAACCCGAGCCACAGACACCTGATAGCCGCTGTGTGGGAATATTTGTGTGATATTTATGATCTGCTCTGGCTGCTGGGTGGAATTTATATGTGTCTGTGCATGTACATGCGTGGATGTGTGTGTGCGTCTGTGTGTGTGTGAGAGAGAGAGAGTGAGAGCAACAGAGAGACACCTGACTGCCAAATTTGCCAACTCTACCTCAGAGACAGCAGGAGAGAACATACTGTACATATAGTATGCAAAGCAACAAGTGCAAACCCACATACACACACTCATTTTATTCCTTGTGGGGACATTACATTAGCATACATTCATATCCTGGAGACTTATCCTAACCCTAACCACAGCCACTACTTGCCCAACCCTAACCCTCACTCTAACCTTAACCTAACATGAACATTACCCTAACCCTGATCTATCTTAAGATTCAATGATTTACATGGTGAGAACAAGCATCGAATGCCCACAAGGAAGGCCGAGTCCCCACAGTGGGAGTTGTACCAGGTGTGTGCACACATACATTTCTTGAGCAGCCCTGTGTGTTCTTTCTTCTTGATGTGTTGTCAGCTACACTGCAAGGGTCATCAAAATACTTGTAACTGTACACCCGGATCTAATATGAAACCTGAACAGAGTGACAGTGTTTGAGGATTTACAATATTTCCTCACGTGCTTCTATCACCTCTTTAAAAGTGAACTGATGGGGAGACAGGCTGCATTTGCTTACATTTCATCAAATTTTTGTCATATACCACTTTGAATACTGCACCACAAACTTTCTCATTGATAATATATTTTACATGACTAATAAGAACAAAGAGTGAGTTGCTAAACATTGCTTTAATCCATAAGAACCAAGACCCATTTCTCCTTAAAGGAAAATTATGGGGGATATAAAACGGACCAAATGGACCACATGAAACACATTTCTGAAATTTGTTTTGAAATAATGTATGTGTGGGAAATGTTACATGTCTGTTACATCAGGAATTTGTGGTAAATAAATGTCTGATGTATTCTTCAATTGAAAATAAAATAATTGATAGTTTTTTTGCCTAGAACCACAGACAGGTTTTTAAAATTTGCATTTCAACCAACAAAATTAATAAAATAATTGAAACAACTAAGTGATTAAAGCACTTTTTGGCTATTGTGACAATATGTCACACTGGGTTTTATGTGACTTTTAAAG